ATGATTCTGGTTAGAATACAAACCAAGGAAGATGGAAGGCCACAAAGGTAGTCTGGGACCAAATTGTAAAATGCTCTAAAAGCTAGGCTAAAAGTTGAGCTATTACTTCATGAGTGGTAGATAGATAGGTATGATGGCTACCACTGAAGTTTTTTTTTTTTTTTAGCAGGAGAGGTGATGAGATTAGTCCCCAGGAAAATCGGTTAGGAAACATTTCTACAAAGCAGGGGTTAAGAAGGTTCAAGCTAATAAAGTGACAGAACAGAAAGGACTAGAGAGATGAGAGCAACACAGCAAAGGTAGAAATGTGATTTAAGAACGGCAATGACAGAGTCAAAGATAAGTCTGGAGTTGCTCAGTGACAGGACAGTTGGGATGTCACTAACAGAAACAGAAAATGAGTTGGAATGGAAAGTGATACTCACCCTTAGATATTGCTACTATAATCTACAGCGCTACATTACAAGTCCTAAGATCCTAATATCATTGGTTTTTTATTTTTTATAAAATATGACTTCAAATATATCTACTATTCAACTTCATGGAATCCTCAGTCACTACATTCCTTCCTTTCCTCAGTCTCCCTTCTGTTCCCACCATCACCACTCTTCACAACCTTCCAGGGTGTTTAAGAACTTTCTCAGTGAAGAACAAAAAAATGTAGTATATATATAATGGAATACTGTTGAATCTTAAAAAGGAATGAAATTCTGATACATGCTACACGTGGATGAACGTTTCAGACATCATGCCAAGTGAAATAAGCCAAACACAAAAAGAACGGCAATGACAGAGTCAAAGATAAGTCTGGAGTTGCTCAGTGACAGGACAGTTGGGATGTCACTAACAGAAACAGAAAATGAGTTGGAATGGAAAGTGATACAATGAGTGAAAGTGATAAAATGAGTTGGAATGGAAACTGTGATTCCACTTATATAGGGTATTTGATTCACATTACACAGAGTACCAATCCCACAGAATCTCCTGTTGTGTAACATGGTGACCTTGCTTCATTCTCTATCCCTCATGAATTCATGGGGCATGGTTTCAACTCTTCTTAATTACTACTCTTAAAGTTTGAAATTAGGAAGACACATTCTTAAACCTGGTATGTGTTACCTGCAAAGCCAATGGTAACTTTTTGAAAATACACTAAAACGCATCTATCCAAGGAACAAAAGCAGGGTGACAACCTCGGTTTCTTTTCATTTTAATGACTCTCCAAATTCTAGCACTTTTTTTTTTTTAGACAAGGTCTCACTCTGTCACCCAGGCTGTAGTACACTGATGCGATCATGGCTCACTGCAGCCTCAAACTCCGGGGCTCAAGCAATATTCCTGCCTTAGACTCTGGATTAGCTAGGACTACAGGCATTTGCCATTATGCCCAGTTAATTGTTTTATTTTTTTTTTGTAAAGACAGGATCTCACTATGTTGCCCTGGCTGGCCAGTACTCTTAATTATTTCTTTCAACTTATTCAGTGAGCTATCACAGACACTTAGTATACAGACAAATATTAAGTGTACACCTTGATGGACCAAGTACTCTGACCACAATGCAATTAAATTAGATATAAATATCCAATGTTAACAACCACAAAAAACCCCATAGGTGTATAAATCCATCGGTTTAGAAATTATAATGAAGACATTTTAAAGTGTAAAACTGAACAATAAACCATAACATTTTGGGGATGAAACAAAAATGTATTTGAAAATTTTTAACAACAAAGGACTCTGATGCATGATTTTGATTATAAAGCTACACTCATAGAGACTGCATGGTATTGGTGAAAAGACAGAAAACACAGACCAATGGGAAAGAATGGTCCAGAAATAGACCCATAGATATGTGATTAATCGACAAAGGCGCAAAGGCAATTCAATAGAGAAAGAATAGTCATTACACCCATTTAGTCACCATCAAGAACAAGACAAAAAAGATATTATCTTTTAATTATTAAATGTACTTCTTCTGATCAGCATTTTAGTTTGCTTTTATGAATGCTATATGCCATATGCCCTTATAAAAAATTCAGAATAAATATGAGGCTAAGTAAAACTTGAGAGTTGTATTGAAAGGTCACCTCTTTCTGCTTCCTAGCTATATGACCTTTGGCAAGTCACTTAATTTCTTATTTTCTCTTTATTTTTCTATTTCCTAAGATCTCCCCTACCTCCTTTCTCTAAGGTTTTTGTGAGAATTAAATGTTAGGATGTAAATGAAGAACAGGACAGCAATGAAATTCTGGGGGGAGGCAATGGAAATGTCCTATGTCTTTATGTGGGCGAAGCAGTGATTTCACGGGTATAATAAACATTTGTCAAAATTAATCAAATTGTGCACTTGAAATGAATGTAGTCTATCATATATAAATTATATTTCAGTAAATAGATTAAAAAACAAAAAAGAATAATACTGTTGGGGCACATGATGGGTGTTAAGTAATTGCTAGTTTGTTCCTCCATCTCATTCCTTTTATACAAGGGGGAACAAAAAAAATTACTTGTGGACAGGAAACAGTTTGGTCTCAGCCAAGGCGCTGGGAGCCTCTCTGGTCTAAGCCTGTGGCTGTGTGGGCAGGTACTGCTTGGGAATGCCCCTCAGGGAGGGTCCTGGTGAAACCAGAGCTTACTAAGTCACTATGGGTAACAATTCCAACAGATTATCCTTTGCCAAGTTAAAACTCTTCCTATCATAAAGTTCCACCTCCATTATCTTTCATATGGCTGGTCTCTTATAGTACACTTGGAATTTGTTCCTCTGGATCAAACAGTCAACCAAAGTTTTTATCTGGAAGTTTTGAGAAGGTTGTCTCACAATTTGCAGAAAAAACATCCGAGCTGTGGCAAACAGGTGACTGGTTCTTCCACCATGGCAATGCACTTGCCCACGCCATACTGAGTGTTCAGCAGTTTTGAACCAAAACAGCATGACCCCATGTCCCACTCTTCCTATTTACCCAATCTTGCCCCAGGCGACTATTTTTTTGTTTCCCTGGATGAAAAAAGTCCTCAAAGGGAAACATTTTGGCAATGTGGAAGAAGTAAAACAAAAATTGGCAGAAGCACTAAAAGGCATCAAAATTGATGAGTTCAAAAACTGGAGTAGTGGAAAAAGGGTCTCAAAAGGTGTATTGCATCAAACGGACAGCACTTTGAAGGTGACTGAAGTTGAAACGTAAGAATAAAATTTTTATAATTCAAGGATTTTTGAGGTCTCCCTCACATATTCACTTCAGAGGAAAAACACCTAGGCACTATTCCCCATATGAAAATTCTCCAAAACTTCTTGAGATAATTATAGGGTTATTTCTCTCTGCTCCCTCTCCTCCACACTAAATCCAATATCTTTAACATTTCCTATGAATTTTACTTCTTCTACATAGCAAGATTTTAAATCTAGATGCTAGTCAACACCTCTCATTTCAGTTAACGAACACAAAGGGCAATTAACATATGTTACAAACAATCTTGAGGTCTTTTGGTGTTAGCTCCACAAAGTTGAGGGTAGTACCATGTTGCTAACTCATGTACCAAAATAGGTTATTATAGACATTTAAATCTTGTTCAACCAAAACTCACATGAAGCTACTATAAAAGTACTATTTTGAAGTCTTTTTCTGATCACTGGCTATATTTATACTCCCAAAGTAAATTATATTATTTTAAAACAATAGTGGCAAAGACACCCTTTCTTTTTATCTGCTACCACCATTAGAAAGGCTCTTCATCTGCCTTTTATAAAATACACACAGGGTGCCAAAAAGATGTATACACAGTTTAAGAAAGGAAAAAACTGTATTAAAATTGTAATACTCAATAAATTGAATAGAAGTCGTTTGACTTCTGTAATTACAAGAGGTGCTTAAAGTGGTTACTATCAGCATCCAGATACTTCTGATTACGGCAAACAGTGCTTAAAATGTGTATAAATTTTTTTGGCATTCTTGGTATTAAGTGTACATTTTGGTACCAACTCGGTTATCACGTATTCATGTGTTATAAATCCCAAAGAAAAAAATCTTATGGTGTGCTTTCTACATTAGTGAACTCTCTAGCTGTTTTACAATAATATTATACACAGATTGCTTCTCCTAAATTGCTAAAATCAGAGTTCACTAAGATGGATTATTTTTAAAAATCTGTCTAGGCTAAAAATGACCATTACCAACTTTCAAAATAAACACCTTGAAGACTACGATTTTTATCTGCTACTTTATTTTGTTTTAAAAGCATACTTTTACCCTACATAAATATGAAAAGTATTCCTCACACTTTTTCATCTTAGGTTTTTCATTTTTTTTTTGAGTCAGGGTCTCACTCTGTCACCCATGCTGGCTGGCGTGCAATGGCACAATCTCGGCTCACTTGTAGCCTCAACCTCCTGTGCTCAGGTGATCCTTCTGCTTCAGTCTCCCGAATAGCTGGGACTACAGATGCATGCCACCACACTTAACTAATTTTTTTTTTTGTGGAGAAAAGGTTTCACTATGTTGCCAGTTTAGGCTGGTCTTAAACTCTCAGGCTAGCCGAGCTCGGTGGCTCAGCCTGTAATCCCATGCCTTTGGGAGGCTGAGGTGAGTGGACTGCCTGAGCCTGCGGGTTCGAGACCCGCCAGGGCAGCGAGACCTCATCTTTACAATAAATCAAAAAAAAAAATCAGCTGGGCGTGGTAGCGCGTGCCTGTAATTCCAGCTACTCGGAAGGCTGAGGTGGAAGGATCGCCGGAGCCCAGCGGGTCGAGGCTGCGGTGGCCGGGAGCGGCCACTGCACTCCAGTCTGGGCGACAGAGTGAGACTCCAACTCAAAAAAAAAAAACAAAAAACTCTCAGGCTGAAGCAATCCTCCTACCTTGGTCTCCCCAAATGCTGGAATTATAGGCATGAGCCACTGTGCCTGGCCAGATTTTTCATTTACTTTTTAGTCACTTCACAAACAACTTAGTAGATGTTAAAAATAAAAATTACCATCTTCTCCCATAGTCCATTTCACTCACCTACAAAATGGGCTGGGAATAGTCGGTATCACATAACAAATCCCCCCATTCAGACAAAATGATTTGTGACTGGAACCACAGGGCTCTTCGTGATCTAAAACACATACATATAGGAAAGAGAAAAGCACATTTAAGTTTTTCTAATATAACAAAGAATAGGAATAACTATGTTATACTGAGGTAATAACTCTAAAAATCAGAATGAAGAATTTTTTTTTTTCTCAAAGTGAAAGACTTAATCTTTGCTCTTACTTGATTGACTAGGACTTTTATCCCTTTGAGGGAAAAATTAATCTGTCCTAAAGATATGGCTATTAATAATAACGGATTTAGAAGCTGTATAATAGAAATAAGAAAGTCTAAATTAGTTCAATTAAAAGGAGGTAATTAGGGTCTTAAAATAAACAAGGCCTTTCTCATTTAGTACAGAAATTCTGAAGTATTATTTAGAGCTTCCCTGTCCCAACAATTTATTCAGATTCTTGTTTTTCCTTTTAGGTCTCAAATACATTAAAATCTGAAATTGTGATAGAAAAAGATTTAGATAATTGAAATAAATATTTGTTTCTGAAATTATCTTTTAGGAATGTCAAAAATCAAAACCAATACAATCTTAAAAGGTTCTGATTTGCAAAGCAATCTTAGGTACTAGCTAGTAACTATAAAGAAATGTAAAGTTCTAAAGTAAAATTAAAAACCTAACTCAGAGCTTCACATACAGCCAACTCTTTCAGAATAGTAAGAAAATAAACCTCCATTTCTCTCTTGCTTCTTTTCTCTTCCTCCTTTTTCTCCATCTTCACCTTCCTTCCTTATCTTTAACCTTTCCTTTTTCTTTCATTATCTCTGCTTTTCCCATCTCCCTTGAGACCTCGCCTTCCTTCTAGCCTTACTCCCACCTACTACCTTAAAAAAAAAATCTAACTCCGTTCACTCCTGGTCACCAAAGTCATTGTACAGAAAAAATTAGAAATAACAATATAATAATTCGTTGAATCATTATACTACTAATTTATGATTAGAAAAGAAAATTGCTGGATACTTTATCTTTGGGCCTTAAAGGGGGAATTCAATTGCCTTAAAATTGCACATTGTTAGTTTCTGATTGTTTCTGTCTAGGAAATGACCCAGAATCATCTAATGTAAAAAAGAAAATGGCATTACTCCCATTAGGCCTCCAATTTGGCATTTTAAAACTATAGTACACTAATTTTTTAAAAATTGTCTAGCATTCATTTGCCACTAAGATATCAATACTCATGAAGATCTCATTGCTATATCAGTTGCTATGCATTGCTATGAATCAATGTCTCCACAATCAGAATTAACAATTTTAAAACTCTCTTTTTACTTTAGAATTGAGAAAATCCTGTTTTAGCATCACATTATAGCTATCAAAGTATAAAGATATAAAGAGAAAAATAGAACTACTGAATTTGACAGGTAAAAAGGAGGTAAACCAACCAAAATTAACTCTTTTAAATTTTTTTCACCCAATACCATGCATGTTTATAATCAAACAACTTTTAACAAAATTATAACATTTTTCTAGGAATAATTTGGTTAACAAATAAAATCTCAATTAATATTATAACACATTAGAATCATAGGAGTTACCATGTACGGTTTTCCTTTGAGGATGGAATGCAATTTTGTCATATCTAAAATTAATGTCTTTTAACCAGAATATAACTAGACATATCTCAACACCTGATATTTTATCAGGAAAGAAAGCTCATCTGATCCGAATCATTATTTCTGAATCTATTTTTTATTCTGACTTTGATTGATTTCATTTACTTATTGCAGAAACTGATTTCAGATATAATAAAATAAGTAGCATTTGTTAGTTCATAAAAACCAATAAAACATATAAGTCTAAAATAAAATAGCTTTACATGATAAAGGAAGATTTTTCAAAGCTAAAATATTTCATATTTCTAGAATGATGTTAGATGGGGAACAACAGTCTTGTATTAATATACATTTTTGTTGTGGTTCTGTTGCTATGTGACACAAAAGTACAAACTTACAAGAAATTACCTGTCGGCATCTTAATCTTCAAATAGTTTCATTCTTGATCAAA